GGTCTATACCCACCATGGCAGTCCCTGTTCTGCCTGGGTTGGGTTGACAGGATAGGACAAGGTCTATACCCACCATGGCAGTCCCTGTTCTGCCTGGGTTGGGTTGACAGGATAGGACAAGGTCTATACCCACCATGGCAGTCCCTGTTCTGCCTAAAATCCCTCTAATAACACACACCAGAATACAACTGTAGTTGAGCTTTTATGAAGGAGTGATTTTTTATCAGCTGCTTGTTACCATGTTCATTTTTTAAACATAATCCTAAGGGCCTAGCGTAACAGCAATCGTTTGACTTATTAGGCCAAAGTGCTGACGAAAAGATTATTTCCACAACCAGCTGTCTCCTTCTTACCATCTGCCCTCGAGTTCTCTCTCCCTGGTTCTTCTTCTGTTTGGTCAGGACCAGTCGGAACTGGTTGACAAATCCAGCCTGGTCGTTGGGAATGAAACCAACAAACATGGACTTCCGTTGAGAATACAACAGCATTAGGATCCGGATGTTGCACGGAACTTCAGTAGGAAAGTGTACGCTACCAGCCTGTAGATAGGAAGGTTGGAATCCTGTTAGTTTTGAGCAATAAATAACTGGATGCTTACATAGCTTTGTTAACCCCTTCACTACAGATGACTGCTACTACAGCACCTTTGTGTGAGCATTAGTGCATACCACACATACAGTCTATTCACCATGCAGCTGCTGGTTCAATGGGGCCTGCTGCTAGACAAAGCCCTCCATTCAGGGCATACCACAGCCCAGCAGTCACGGTCAAAATAATCCCACCATGAAGGGGTTAAGGTTTTTTCATTTATTATTTATTTCTTTCTTATTTCTCAGGTAACAACACATGAATACACTCAAACACAAATTAGGAATAACACCATAAACAGATCTAAAAAACCCTGACAACACCCCTGAAAGATTACCAAAAAGCAAACTAAATCGCTGTCTAGAGGCTCTCCTAAAATGTTACCAGTGACTAGGTTGGGCAAAAGTGGGACTCACAAACTAATAAGGCACAGTGAGGAAACACAGAGGGAGGGGGAATAATAAACGGAACTCTGAAGAAAGCTGTGTAGGCCTAAACAAAAAACTGAGAGCGAAGAGACAAACCACAAGGAATTAAGAAGGGGGAGTAGGGTTACCTCAGAAAATTCTGGCAACACAACATTTTATGCTCCTTTGAATTTCAGTCATTAGTAGCACAGATTAGGCTAAAGTACAAGTGTCCTTCTGCGGTTGATCAACACATGCTCAGATTCTTGACACATTATCAATAAAATCATTTTTACAAACTTACAAAATTGCTTTGCATGACTTTCATGAGAGCTCTCATTGCTTCAGGGTCGTTGTTCTGTTCAGGAAACTGGAAACCAACTTGTTGAGAGTTACACAGTAATGGACTCAGACCTTGCTGTAATGACAGAAGACAAGAACATTAAAAATGACACTGATGAAATGATTCAAATTACCTACAAGGTGCACTACGCTAAGAAACTGCAAAACTGTCGTAACAAAAAAGATGTTAAGCTATGACATTAGATTTATCTCTCCTTTTGTACACAAAAACAATTCCATTTTTCTTTTACCAATAGATGCTGTGGAATAAGTTGCATGATGAGTTTATTAGGCCACTGTTCCACTTGGAGTTTGCTATCTGGACCGACGGTCACATGACAGGTATGCGTTCGGGTGATCTTGGCCTCAGGGCCTGCCATCTTGGGGCGCTGGACGGAGAAGAAAAAAAATTCAATGCCAATTCAATTTTGGTGGGAAAGTAAACGTGAATGCAAAACAGTGATGTCAGATCAAATATTTATGTTACAAAGTTGCTAATGTTGAACACATTTCAACTTAGGGCCTTCACAAGGCCAGTCACAAGGCCAGTCACAAGTCCCTTCACAAGGCCAGTCACTAGTCCCTTCACAAGGCCTGTCACAAGTCCCTTCACAAGGCCAGTCACAAGTCCCTTCACAAGGCCTGTCACAAGTCCCTTCACAAGGCCAGTCACAAGTCCCTTCACAAGGCCAGTCACATGGCCAGTCACAAGTCCCTTCACAAGGCCAGTCACCAGTCCCTTCACAAGGCCTGTCACATGGCCAGTCACAAGACCAGTCACTAGTCTTTTCAGAAGGCCAGTCACAAGGCCAGACACAAGGCCAGTCACAAGGCCAGACACAAGGCCAGTCATAAGTAACAGGGTGAGCAATGAAAAATTGCTTTTGTCACAGCTCATTTGAATAGCTTGTGAATTGGCTTAGAAAAGACTGAATGAATTGTGCCGGACTTGTGATGGACTCAAATACAATACTAGATGAAACTGACCTCATGCCATTCTAGCTGACCCCTCCACACCACTGTGTTGACCGGTCCTGTTTGAATACCAGCCATCTGCTGCTGCTGTTGCTGGTGCTGTTGTTGCTGTACATTCATCGAATCTACAGGCTGAGAGGGGGACATGGTTAGAATAAATCTCATTACGCTGCTCATAAAACAAAGAGGTAAGTTACCCATGAATGCCATCTAATCTTGTGCCCATGGCTAGGTCTAGGTCACTGCTGGTTACAAATACACTGGCTCATGTTGGCTATAGACATAGCCACAGCTTGGAAACCCGTTTTGGACAGCCCAACATGCCTACAAAGTCACTGAGGCTACACACTCAAGAGTGTTTCAACACTAAAATTCCAGTCCTAAACTTAAGAAGTGCGACTTACCAATGAGCCCATGGCCATCGATTGCTGCTGCTGTGATGACACAAGTTGTTGCTGCTGCTGTTGTTGTTGTAGCATGGGATTGACGACACCGATGGGTGCAGCCTGTTGCTGCTGGATACCAGTGACACCAGTAGAGGGAACCAGTGATGACTGTCCTTGCTGCTGTTGTTGCTGCTGCTGTTGTTGCTGCTGCTGCAATGGTGTGTTTATTGTTGATGGTGTGCTGGGTGTGGGGCCTGGAATGCCGGGAATGTTGGGTTTGACTGGCATACGCTGACCTGTAAGAAACGAACAAACAAACAAGTAGGAAACAAACCAACAACTTTAATATTTCTGCAGTTACTGACAAGATTTGGTGTCACCTTTTCTTACCGCTTCCGCATAAATCCATGGCAATCTGACAGAAGCAAAACTACAGGATGTACGTGGGATATTTATAACTGTTCTGCTGTCCACCCTTAGAAGACCTTGTTTTCCACTGTAACTGCCCAGAGCTGTCTGAACGTGCAACATGAAATTGTCTAGCTTGTAGGTTTTTACTGCCATAAATTCTACCTTAGAAACATCCATAGACAATAAGAGAAATGTGCAAGTAATGAAAACAGATCTGTGATATGTTTAAGTGGGTTTCCAATACAGAACACTGATCCCAAGCAAAAGCTGCAAACCAAAACAGGTTTATCCTGGATTTGAGGTTTACTTGAGGCTTGTCCTTGCTGACCAGGGCGTGGCCATCGTTGAGACTGTGTCGCTGCAGCATGTTTCATTACATCCTGAACAGCTTGGATGGCACCTGAGGGCACCATCTGGCCTGCTGTCACACTCCCGGCAGGATTGGGCTAGACAAAGGATAATCATACACACCATAAGAGCTTACAGTAAAAGAAAAATACACACACATGGGAATAGGACCCGATTTGATGGAAATGCCCACAGAAAATGTTGCTTAGCAAACTTGAAGCTTTAAACACCTGCTACTTTGATTTGAGGAATGTTTGTTGGTGACTTAATAACCTACCTGAGGAATTGCTTGGGTGTAGGTCACCGTCACGTTGGGTTGGACTTGAGACATCCCTGGCATTCCTCCTGCAGTGATTGGCTGTACCACGGCCATTGGTTGATTAAATGTTGATGTTTGCTGTTGTTGTTGTTGCTGTTGTTGTTGCTGCTGCTGTTGTTGCTGCTGTTGTTGCTGTCGCTGCTGTCTCACCTGCATCAGCATCTTCAAGTGCTGTGGTGTCAGCTGTTGCAGTGCTGTCTTCTTAGCCAACTGTGACATCGCTGCTTGAGTCTGTGCCTGCTGTTGCTGCTGTTGCTGCAAACGCATTTTACACAAATATAATCAATTTGATAATCATTCCTCTCTCTCTGAGGAGAAAAGCTTTCTTCCAAGATTCAAGCACTTATCCCTTCCCATTCGTCTCTAACCAGCCAAAGATAAAATCCTTCCTGTTATCTCCGAGAAGAACTTTTAAAACTGACACCACACAACACTCTCTGAGGCCAAATTTCAAATGCACTTAATGTTGAGGAAGGAAACATGAAGACTCGTTCACCAGTGTTGAAGATTTTGTAAAAAAAGATTCCTAGTAAATTTGCTAACAAGCAAAAACTGCCTTTCAAAATCCATTGTTTGTCCTTAGGATAGGTAGATGGCTAGATGAGACACTAAGAGGCCATTTGGCCTTGATAGCCATGGTCTTTAGGGTAATATTTCTGTTCAGGTAGAAATTGACTCAAAGTACATTAGCTTACCTGCTGCTGAGGTCCCCCTTGTATCATCTGACTTGTAGCTTGGCCACTCATTGGTTGATTGCCTAGAGACTGTTGCCGGGACCCCACTCCCCCGTATGTCTGGGCTGCTGCTTGGTTCTGTTGTTGCTGTTGTTGGAATTGCTGTTGCTGCTGCTGCTGCTGAAGTTGTTGCTGTTGATACTTTTGTTGTTGTTGTTGTTGCTGGGTTTGGGTTGAGGTGAACTGGTTCATAGGTTGTTGTGGTGACATACCCTGACCTTGGTTAACAGTGGCTGGATCGGCAAAAGTAAAGCAAGTTATCAAGAAACCAAAGCCTTTGCATTAGTATTTTTAATTGACCAAAAATGATTTGTTAGTACCGGCAGTGTGTAACTGACGAGGATATGGCTAAGATTGGCGTGAGGGTTCCTGAAGCGAAAGACGGGTACGGGTAGACCTGTTTATATAGAGAGTTGCCACATGAGTGTCTCAACTGTTGCAACCAAATTGGACGGTTAGCACACAATATCTGCATACCTTGCTAATGAACAGCCATTTTGGTTCCAAAGTTGACACTATTCTCTCTGTATAAAAATCTGGGGTGCATTCGCGCAGCTACTCCTGTCAACATGAGTCGGATGCGTGCGCATTACACTTGGGTACAGGAGTATACTCCCGCTGACCCTCGGGTCGTGCTCCAGCCGTTGGAATGCTCAGGAGTATACTCATGTTAACGCAAGTAGCTCACTCGAATGCACCTCTGGGTACAAGTACGTACCTGGAGAGCTAATAGAGTGACTGGATGGGATGTTAGTTGAAGGAACCTTGAACCCTGGAGAACCAATACGCTGAGCTCCACGACCACTGACGGATTGATTGGCTGTAGGTGTGGACAAACAGATTACAACCTTGTATCAGTTTCAATGGGAAATTGGCTAACATTAGAAATCTAGTAGATCAGGATTCAACCCAATGGACTTGATATCAAGAAAAGATTTTCCCCCATATTTGGAAATTGTCAGCATAGCTCTGTCTACTGACTCGCATTTCTACCCTTGAACATAGGACTCTCGCTTCTAAAAGAACTCTGCCAAGTTTAGCAAGACAGTATCCCAACTATTACTTCATATTTTCATGCTTTAGATAGACTCAAAAAAGGAGGTGATTACTATAGTGATTCAAAATGAGCCTGAGCAGCACCAAGAGAGGGCGCAATTTCCCTAGCCATGGAGGATCCTTTCGAGGGAACTGCACTTTGTTGGTTGAAGAGTAACTACGAAATGCATGCATTACGGTTTCATCACTACCAAATATGCCCCACCAACATGGCTTTTTTGAAACCAATGAGGGGTACTTCTGCCTAAGGCAGAAAATGCTTTCAGGTTTGAAAAGCCATATGCAGAGTCACAGTTGACATAAACAGTCTCTCAAAACAAATTTTGGAGAAATGTTGATTGTTATGGAGAATAAAACAGCAATTCTAATGAAACAAAGCAAAACCTACATAAAAAGACCGTCACATTCAGATTCTTTTATCAAAAGCAGAAATTGCTCTTTTAATGATGTTGTCCAATTTTTGTAATGGCTTCATTTCTATGTATGTATGTGTTATCATTTATACACACTCTGAGATGCTGAACTTCCAATGGATCGCATGGCGCTACCTGCAGGGGTACCAGTCACAGAGGAAGGAACAGCAGATGATGCAGATGATGTGGATGTTGTTGCCCCGGCTACTGATGCCACCTGGAGATGTGATGGGGACGAACCTGGGGGGAGGGGTTTGGTGGTATCTGCCCCTGATGATCTCTCTAAAACAGAAACAAAACAAGACAAACACAAAGTTAGAAATGGGATCATTTTCCTGTCTAAGTCACGTACAACGCAGTGGACGTTAAATGACGAGTACACAGTTAAACCTGCTAGTCACATCCTTTCTCTACACCTTGCGCCGACTTGTAAAGTCAAAGCCACTCAAGAGAACGTTTTGTACCTGTTACATTAATTCTTGATAAGTTTCTGTCCCTAACTGCAGGTGTTGTCAAAGAGATCGCTAACCTCCCCCCGTCCTACACAAATTCCACCCCCTCCCAGCATCCATACCTACCTGTAAGCTCAAAGCCACTCAAAAGTACCAAATGTCTTGGATCTGTTGTGTAATCCTTGATGGGTTTCTGTCCTTCACCACAGGCTTTGTCAAAGAGATCATACAGAATAGCAAGCTTGCGTGGGGACACAATGGAAAGATGGATGTTTCTCTGTGGAAAACGACAACCCCAAAAAGAAAAATTACGTCTGATGAATGCACAAGGAAAGAAGTCTAAATGCAATAATTCCAAGAGAGCGAGATTGGAAAAAAATGAAACATCAATCAAGTAGTCAGCAGACACACCTGAGGTTGTGAGGGTCCTAGGGCAAAGTACGCTCTAAGGTACAAACAAGTCACCCCCTTTTTTGTGTTCTATATCAACTTTTATATATGTGAATGGTAAACTCAGGATTTCCAAGATTTTTTGAGAGACTGATTGCAAAATCCTGAAATCAGGAATTCCTGACAAAAATATTTCAATATCAGGAAAACTCCTGACAACTCTCACCCCTGAAATCTGACAAAATGGAATTACACAACAAAATATAAACATAATAATCTAACCAAATAATTGGTCTGCTGTCCACAATTCTCAACAATAAAATCAAAAAGCAACTAGAGTAAACAGGAATAGAACTTTTACTCTAAACCAATGAAGCACATACACGTATGCACACGTTGCTGTTTTCTTGGTATTAAAATGACATTTTCTCAAGAAACCTTCATAAATCTTCCCAAATCATCTGCTTGCACAGAGTCAAGGTCACATTATTTAATCCTCTGTCAGGATTGATACGTGGCTATACTCTATCCTTTCTGATTCAAACCTGCAAAATCCCCCCATGAAGGCAATCATGGAGCCAGTACTAAGGTGCAGCTTGGTGTAAGCTCCTCTGTGTAAAATGTAATCCCAGGTTCATACATGTAATGAGTGAGTGTACAATTGACTAACCATTGACCCTCATGACTCATAATTCCTGACATGCACTGTCTTTGTTTGGCTAAGGTTTGGAAAGTCTAGCAGGCAAAGGTAACCATTGAGCAACAATAGTTTCAGGAAGTATAAAGTGGAAAAAAATCAACTCGCTGTTAGGTCTGCCTGTAACGCAGCCCCCAAACAATCAACAGCTTCATAATGTGGCAAGGATAAAAGGAATATGTAGTGGTAGGTGGTAAGTTGACAGATGAATGGGCTGGCTCATTTGGCATGCTCTAACAACCTTTTCAGAATTTAGGGTTACGCAGGGCAACACTTACACTTTCCTGCTTAAAAATAAGATTAGTTGAACATCAATTTATGCTTACAAATTTACAATCCTGTGAAACTAAAGGTTCTGTAGAGAGCTTTCATATTTTGTTATTTAGTTAGGAGTGTTGATAAAGACTTGAAAGTACAGTACATGTCAGGAAAACACCATATTTTACTTGCAAAGAAGCAATGTTCGGCTGGACTGTGGGCATGTAAAGACTACCGTGTAGACCGACTACTGTATGTACATTGTACGCATGCATCAGGGATGGTTAGGGAAAATCGAGTGTGCCTAGAGCGGTGAATGACAAGGATTTTGGCCTCAAAACAAATCCAGAAAAAGGCAGAATGCATGCACAAGCAAAAGATTAGCTTTGGCGGTTTGACTTAAACAAATCTTTAGTGGGTATTTATCTAGTTTTATTTTTACTGTCTCCACAGTTTGTCGGTGTTTTCACCGACAAAAAATCATCTCATTTGCAGAACAAACAGCGAGACAATATACAAAATCTCTGCAAACGTCTGTGTGTGTACATAAACACGCCAACGATGTTGTACATGAACACCTGTGTATGTATTGAAATGTAATGAAAGGTAACAATTTTCTTCAAGCGCGTATTGTTTCCACAAAGTGACAAAAAGTTGGTATAATGCAGTAGGAAAAAAACTTAAAGACCTCAGGGTTTTTCTGTTTTCACAAAGTGAAAAAAATTTCATCAGTTTTTATTCATGAATTATTCTGTAATTTAAACAAAATATCTGTAACTACATGTAAGTATGGATTAGCATTTTCCAAGTCTGACATTTCATAAATTCGTAAAAAAATTTCTCAATCGGTAACATAAAAGTGATTGAAAAGGTGTATCGAATGGCTGGTATTTTCAAACGCAATTATTTCAGAATGTCAGTTTGGCCAGATTTAGAGGTTTTTGTCACTTCATGAAAACACTGACGAATCCCTTAGTTCAGACATATGCACATGTACCATGCACTGTGGGTTCACAGCTAAAGATTGATTACCGGCCAATCCATTACAGTTCATTCAGTTTAGCAGTGGGAACCAGTGTAAGAAGAATGCAGATGTACATATATCGCATGTGATTTTGATGCAGCTACATGTACAGTGCACAACATTAAATTTGTCTAAAGTTACAATTTGACTTGTGGAAAGAACAACCCGAACTTAAGCGTGAGAAAGACATAAATTTTGCAAGATGTACAGATGTTCGTGTTATTTGATTTTTCAAAAAGTGAACAAGGTGACTGTACATTCAGTGGGTGAAATCAGTTCAGTTTCTTTGTGCAGTAACATCTTCCTGCTAATGCATATGGGACATTGGAGCCTAGAGGGCCAGTCAAAAACAAGCTCCCACAAACAGGTGGAATGTCCATGTTCTACACGAATGGAAAGTAGTCTGGTTTGCAGAACTTCTCCACCATATCCTGTCTACACAGTTTGGTCGTGGTGAGGAAAAGACTAGACTGTCAAAGTGCTTTTTAATACTGTGGGTCAAAAACTTAACAGCACCAACACAGGGTTCCTGCACCTACACTGTGTATGTGTAAAGGACAATTAAATTCCATGGCTTTTCCACGACCAAATTATGAAAATCCATGACCCAATAATACAATTTCTTGAACTCTTCGGACATTTAAAGTTGCAAAAAAAAATCACACAGGGTATGAAAAATTCCATGACTTCAATTATTTTTACAAAATTCCATGACATTTCCAGGCCTGGAAAACGAAAACAAACTTCCATGACTTTTCCAGGCCGTGGGAACCGTACAACAGTAACAGCAATATCAGACATATACGGCAGATTTCACTGTATGTAAAGGGCATGTGTGCCTACTTGACTGTAACATAGTTTTTTTTCCTCAGAGGGCACTGTGGCCAGTGCTTCACCATATTGTGGCAATGACTGCTCATGGACACTAGTAAGGTTGAGGCCTGATGCTCATGACTTCAAACATTATGGCAAACAGCATGAAAAGAAATTGTCATTACAACAGCTACCCTAACCCTGCAGTTATTTAGCTCATAAAAGCAAATCACTTATGCTGGTTAGGCTAACAAGATTTATTGCTTCAAGTATGAACACATTCACGTCCTTCATAGGCTGATATCATTTACTTACAGACAACGGTTGACATGATTCGTATGATGTGGCAAGTGCAGAGCATTATGTACATGTAAAACAGGATCTGCAATTTATGTAATTGTTTGGGTATTATGCTCCGTGCACTACGCACATCAAGCAACAAGAAGTCCCGCCGAATAATGGATGCTACACAAGGTCGACAGTGATTGTGGCATAAATTAGAATTCCCAGAAATGCCTGACTCTAAAAGTGCAATGTAAAAACAGGTGCAACAAAACAGAACTGGTTATTGTAGCTCGTTGAATAAAAAGGAAATGAGAATAAAAAGTACCATGGCTACATGAATCCTGTATGGCACTTGCACATCTTACGGGACTTTCCCTGTTTTTAGTCTGGTCTTGTTTTGAAGCCGGGTAGGCTAAATTACTCAATGCCACATATTTGTGTTTAGTAGCAACCGTTGCTAATCAGTAATTTTTAAGTGGTATTTTTTTCTATTGCAATCAAAGGTATTCAACGTTCCAAGACATTTCAATCCTTAAACTTTCCATGTTTTGCCCAATTATAAAATACTTCAATGGACTAAATTTTGGAACTTACACTAAGATGATATAAGTTCTTCGCTGGAAGTGGCATATGAACTCAACAAATTCTTCACAAAATAAACAGCAGTCACTAAGGTTTTTAATTAATATTAGCCTACAAGAGGTCATTGGTGTCATGTCATTAGACCGGTGAAGACAGTTTAAGAAGTGTTCCAAGTCTGTGGAGGCGCCAGCATTTTCAAATCATATTTCCATTGGCAATTTCATGTACACAACAATGCAGATAGACTTCAAAGGTGCCTGCATTTCTGCATATATCTGCATAAGTTGAATGCAGTCCTGTCAAAAATCATGCAATTGTAAAACTTTTACATCATCATTCAAACCAAGTAACATGGATCACAAATGGTCAGGCTGATTTCACCAACTATCTGTAATGACGATTACCCTCCTTATCTGGGTACAATTTGTTATTTTGTGAAATTTTCCACCAAACATAGGTAACAATGTCAAGATTTTAATTGAGGGTGGGAATTTACGTTTAATTTGAAAAACATTTAGAAAACATTCCCAAACCGTTTAAACATTTAGCCAACACTTTACAGAGCGCGTCGCTGCCTATATTGGTGTTTTATGCATAGTTATATAGTTCAACAATTCATATCGTCCAACCAATGTAAAAAATGAAAGATTGAAGTTGGGTCACTTAAAACAAGCAATGTTTATTGTTTTGGAATCCACTTTTTTCTAAAAAAGTACATGGATAACTAAAAGAGATAAATATTCTGAAAATCAGATTACACGCTACAGGCATTGTTTACAATAAAAATGCCACATTGCATCAATCAAAATATCAAATCTCTACCTCCGTTTAAACGTTTGGGAAAATCTGTAAAGGAATTTGGAACTTTTTTCATTTAAAATATGTAAACGTCCCACCCTTAATTTTAATATCTACGTTGAAAATATTCAACACAAGAGAGTTCAACTGATGCATCTGAAAGCAATATGGATGTTACAATGTAAGTTTCTGAACAATACACGTAGGTCTAATAAAAATATAGCTCTACACGGAAACAGCATACTCACCTCAGCCATCAGTGTGACTAAATCTTCCGATGTATATCCTATGTAGTTCCCACTTTCCATACTCGGTAGAGAGAACGGCGGTAAATTACAGACCAAGATGCATTGACAGGTGCAGTTGGCAAGACTAAAAGGTAGCAAAAAAAATCAAACGTCAAGAAGTCAGACTTTTGTCTTACATGGCTGTTGTACATGTTCACCTCTTCAGATCTCCGGAACAGAAAAGAAAGAAGCTCTTGCCATGAAGCAGGCAATGGTCATGGACATCGAGTTGACATAAAAATGTATTTAAATAGTAACATCTGGTAAATAAACGTATCTTTTTGTGGGAGGGCGACGACTTTGAATTTACATTTCAGAATGATTTATTTATCTATTTATTTATTTCTGATCATCTAACTGCACATTTACATGTAGCACCAATTACAGGATGATAATGAGCGAAGAAGGCAATGAACAAATGTTCAGTTTTAGAAGTGGTAGGGAAAACCCGGATAAATGTTTTGGGGAAAACCCACGGACTCAGGTAGGGATCGAACACCCAACCCACATGTGGACCAGGCCGGGATTCGAACCCAGGCCCCCAGATGTGGAAGGCAAGGAAAGAAACACTATGCCAACCTGACTCTCCTACACAGTTAACATTCAACACAATTATGGTCAGAGAGGGAAAAATGAAAACATATTGAGCACGTCATATTCTGGGGTACAAAACAGAATTTCCTGTAACAGTCTTCTACAGCATATTTTATGATAAAACTGATTGAGTTTTGCACCTGAAAGTGATCACTTCTTTGTTATTATTCTTATCAGAAAATAAAAAATGCATTAACTCTTACCTGGAGTGTCTCTTAGCCTTAAAGTCATCAAATATCTGCATGGCTGATCCCAGTCCCTCTGCTACAAGGCTACCACTCTCCCCTCCTCCACCAATGAACCTGCCCGAGCAAATAAAAGAACACTTAATGAGACAGAGTGCAACAAAGAGAAGACAGGGGTAGGTGAATGCTTCAAAAAATAGAGGGACCACTTTAAATTCTGAAGCAGAAGAAAACATACCTGTGACACTAAATTGACATGAATGTCATTTTTACTTGGAGGGAAGCTCTGGCAATGAATTACATAAGTTAATCCAATTTCATGAACAAAGGACAAGGAAAATACAGGTATCCTCAATCTTCACCTGTTCGAACCCTTCAAATGAAGTCTGTGTAAGTGATGTGGCATGAGGAAATTAGGGGATCTAGAGTCAGGCAACTGTAAAGGCCCAACAGGTAATGAGATAATGACACCACAAGATAACAACCACCAAATAAAACAGAGCCTATACTACAGGCCAAAACAAATGAATGCCATGTTTCTGGTCTCCACAGACGTTAGTTTTGAAATATACATGTACATGTAAAAAACGTCTCAATATTTCACAACAGTAAAACAATCTGGTTTCAATCCAATTGAGCTTATAAACATAAGCTGCAACAAAAAGAAAACTTTGGATGCAACAAGGTACGGGAACATGATGAACCCAGAGGTGGAATGCTACTACAGGTGGACCCCTCCCACTTTTTGCCCATAGCTCCTCCCCTCCTAACTTACTGTATATTATCCATTGAGTTGCTTAACTGCCATGCATTACTGGTTGGAGCGATGCATGATACTGCCGGTGAGGGATAACAATCCACTGTGTTATAGATGACTAAACTGTACAGCGGCCCACCATACTGTGAGAAACAACAACTCCATGTCAATGGTTATGCTGAAGGGGCATCTCCAGGGGTATTTCTAGCACCCCCCACAGGCCATTTTGAAAACCTTGTTTTGCAGGTAAAAGTATAAAACCTAATGCAACTTAGAAAACATAAACACCCCATTTTCAAATGGCAAAGACCCCTTCTGATATTGTAACACTGGCCAACACACACTCCACAAAAATATATCTAATCACAAGCTATGAGACTTAAAGTGTCCAAAGTTGATGCATAGCACAAGAGACACATATATTATATACAAATCAATTGGTTTAGCAGGTGTTTTGAATAACCTTCGACCACTCTTTTTCAAAATTAGCCACCAGTTTAAATCACACAGCACAAAACATTTGTGTGTCCATAGCTTCTGTTGAAATCAGCAAGTTCTTGTATAAAAAGTGGATTCATTTTATTGTGTGGTGTTTGGTACATGTAAGTATGTTTTACATGTCTGTAAAAAGGTCATCAATCTAAAGAAATGGACAAATGGAATAATCTAATGGATAAGAAAGATTAACAAGTATGAGTTCTGATCAATATTTTAAAAATTTGAAAATAAAGTTGTACTCACATCACCACTGAAATCACTCTCTCCAAGTGGTCCACCATTGAAGTGTCTGAATAGACAAAGGAAATAATGCCTAAACTTGTCAGTTGCAACTGGAACTCTTTTTAGCAGTGACCAAATTCTGTTAGCAACATTTCTTAATTGCTGGTCACATAACAGTCATAGGACAAAAACTGGCTAAAAAGTAAGATGACCAATGTCGGTGGCAGTATCCATCCAATCCGTGTTATTTGTTCAATGTACATGTACAATGTACATGTATGTTGAGTACAATGTGGAACTTAGCCAAAATCTTTGAATTGGCGTACAAACTTGGAACCTTCCCAATTCAATGTTCATTGAGATAATCAACTCATGAATAAGGACAAAGGCACTTTTAACCTAAAGAGTCACATTATTTTGGACCATCTCTCAGCCAATGGAGCAGATTTTGCCCCCTCCCGCTGCCACCATAGATCTCAGCAGTCCTAATTTTCTAAAAACTTGGCATGCATGTACATGTCAAATATTTGACCTTCAATTCAATCAAGTATCTGAATATATGGTCGTACCGACAGGCAGATTGTTGATGAAGAAACCACATACAAAAATCAGTAGCAATAACACACACAACTGTACATTATAATCACTATAATAGCTTTTCACTGCTATGAGTACAAGTACGGTGTGTATCCCAGCCATGATTTAGCAAGATTTAACGGGCCCACAGTAGGCCCTACTTTTTGTCCTGTTGAAAATATCTATTGCTTTTAATTTGTTTTAGGAATAATTTACTTTTTGAATCATTGTAAGATTTCTGTTACTTCTCATCTGAATCTGCTTGAAACAAGCATCCACAGTGCAATTTTTTTCATTTAAAACAAAATAAAATTCTCCCTTCCTTTTCAAGAATTTTGCATTTGAGTATTCAAATTTGGAATATTATATTCAAATATTCAATAATTGATCAAATATTCAGATATTCGGCACAGCCCTATATGCATGTTGAGAAACTGATTATCAGTACAAATGTACAATTTCAACTCAGACATGTGCTTTTACCATTAAGGTTACTTGAAGTTCCAGGCCATATGCGTGGAAAAATGCACTTTTACCTGACCTGTCTTGGAAAAGTGGGTGATTTTTACAAAATCATCAATTGTCATTATAACCACAAGACATTAATGAAAAAAAAACCAGCAGGTTCAGAGTATGAAAAAAATTGCACTGTGATGGTACCAGGAAAAATATGGAGGGCCAGATTCCCCCTCTACTGCACTCTTTAGGGTTAAAGTAAGAGAAAGCAAGTTTAGGCTTTTAAAAGGGTTTGCTGTTCACACACCAAATCTGTACACCATCATCAACCAAAAGCTTCCACTTTGATCAAGTAGGATAACAGAACCCCAGTACTTTATGCTAAAATGATCAACATATTTCCTCTCATTTCCGACTTACATGAGTGCAGGTAGGATGTAATTTGTCTTCAATTCTTTGAAGTAGGCGCCCATACCAGCTGTTCCTTCAATCACAAACACAACATTGCTTGCGTTGTCTGCTGTGACGATCATCTTGAAGATTTTCAAAGAAATCTCTGTAGCTATGTCAAATAGAATTTCACAGTAGATCCCAGTCTTTCACAGATGTGATGTTTTTCACATGAAACTCGTAAAATTCATATTCTAACCTGAAAAAATTAAAGAAGAAAATGTTTTCTCAGATGATCAACCTTCTTTTGATGTCTTTGTCGTTTATGTGTACATGTACATGTATATGCCCTGCTCAAGGAAAATCAAAGATATTTCTTCGGATACCCAAATTCACAAATCCTGATCAAAAAACTGTTTTAATGTACACCAAAGATGTAAGTCATGATCGATGATGTGGGTGTTGGAAATAATGGGTTCATCAGCACAATCTCACAATCGTGCGAATCAGGTTTGCGTAGTGGTTCTTTCCTCGCCTTCCACGTCTGTGGTCAGGGTTAATTCCCGGCTTGGTCCACATGGAGATTGGGTTTTCACAAAAATTTCAGTCCCTACCCGATTCCATGGGTTTTATCCAGAATATTCCTCTGGGATTTTCCTCCCACCTCTAACTGTAACTGCTTCTCATTGTTTCCTCTCTAAAGGTTTCTTCAGGCTTCCGAGCTGCACAGTGCCTAGGGCACTACTGGGGAATCCTTGGTGTCATTCTCAGAAATAATTAGTAATGATTGCATTGCCCTATTGGTTGATCTTGTATGAAATTTACGACTATACTTCCCTCTTGGAAACCACCTTCGGAAAAAGCCAGTTAAGAAAGAGAAGAATTGGCCATCACGGACATGTTGGATCATCGCAGAATTACTGGCAAAGTTTCCATGCGATAAGATTGAAAGATTGTGTGAAGATCAAGCCATCGTAGGCCTACACATAAAATGATGGAAAGGTCCATACGGAAGCCGCTTGACAGCCTGTGCACAAACCCTATGACTATGAGACTGGTCGGAAAAATTTGAAGTGTTTTCTATGTACCTGTAGGCTAAGTAAATGACTTGTTTTTTTCCTTCCTAAATTGAACTTTAGTCAGTGTCAGTTTAAAAGTTTTATGGACATGTTTTTGCTTTCTGACGGCTAATAATATTACACAATAGGTCTACTGGCGTAGGGCCTACATGTACGTACACGGGACTCTTCCCAAATTTACTTATTGTGCCCCACACGGACATGAATTATCGTACACCTACCATGGAGGTAGAAATAGATTTCTACCTCCATACACCTACGGTATGTGGCCAGTTCTTTGGTAGCCTAGACATGAACCGGTAATCGCTCCTGAGGAAGGTGCATATGCACCAGACACGGCCATGACGGCAGGTAAACATGTGGGAAAACGTTAAAATTCAACACACAACTCACCTACTTTCCAACTGATATACAACTTGCTCTGCCGTCTTAAATGGAAAATAACTGTGCTGGTGATAACTATATTAAAGGTAACTCCAAGAGAAAGAGGGATTTTCGAGGGGAAACACCGAAAAAGGGTGACTCAATTACTTCTGTTCTTTGAAGCACATCCGGTCCTAAGTGAGCACGCATGGCGCGGCGCGGCGTTACTTGTTTTGTATGAGCAAGACCATTCTATTCCATTACAGCAATAAAATCGAATACTTCGACGTCTTGGTGCAAGACTACAGCGCGCTACATACTACATGCACTGCACGCGCACCTCCGGCTGGGGGAAAAATAATTTTTGTTTCTCCTTATGAAAAAAAATCCAAAGCTGTTATTTCCAAATTCAAAAGGGGAAAAACAAAATTTATTCATTAATTTAAAAAGGGGAAAACTGATGTATGGAAAATAGGGCTCAATTCATTGGTTTTCTAACTATCAGAGTGTCGGGGGTGGGGGGCAGTGCAGGGGATACATTAGTTGAGACATGGAGGTACATGGGGCAGGCATATGGTAGCATCAAATTCCTCTATGGTGGGATGCATTGGAAAATTCAGATTAAAAGAACTGATTCTGTATGGGTCATTCCGCGACGTTGGGGCACAACTTGTCGGACGGTGTCCTTGATACATCCAAAACTTTTGCCACCTGTTATGTTATGACCTCTAGAGTAGGTCATTTACTCTGTATAAATAACACACCCCTCTGTATTCAGTCTTGCAAGATGTATAACAATGTCAATTTGGAATCCCCATGCAGGGAAATAACTGTTCATTTTTACGGAACCCATGTAATAATTGAAACCGTCACAGACTGTGCCCCTACCTCATGGAATGACCCGTATACATGGGGTAGACTGACCCTTTTAAATTGCCCCCTTCCCATCCATCCATTCCTCATACAGCCAGTTACAGGTCAGTCCTCCTTAATTCAGAAGAATAATGCCAAAGAACAGGGGAGATAATACAATATTAAAAATCAAGTCTTTTTCCTACGAACAAAACAGTAAACTGATTTACAAAAGAGTAGACTTTCTACATGTACTATAGAACGACTTATCGACTAGCACTCTGTAAATTATTCAGCAATCTTCCTGAGTGTCTCAGAACAAGCTATTTATTTCAAAGTGGAGTCAAAAACATTTTTTTCTAAAACCAAAACAATCATTCTAAGCATGATCTGAACTTGTTCTAAGAGTGAAAAGAATACAACAAAAGCAATGGTACTCATTCTTCATTCATCAATGTGCACGAGTTACGAGTTGTGAAAGTGAAATAAATTAAGTAATTGCAAAATACATGTTGCACAGGGCACTATAACTAAAGTAGTAAAAACAAATGTCCATACAATGTAAACCTTACACAACAAAGGTTGAATTTTGCTTATTTTCATCTCCATATTTAAACTAGCCAATTGTCTCCACACAGAATAGTGCTTAAAATATTTTATATAATTAAGATTTCTTGAATTTTTCAAACACAAAGCCAAAGAAGCAAAAGGTAAACTTGGAAAAGACTTCACATTTCCATTTTTAACCCTCAAATGTGTAATTTTTCTCTTTCTTAGACACAATAAATCATCTGATAAAATATAACAGTAAACAAGCACAAAATCTGTCAGTAAATTGTTAAAATAAAACTAATTTTAGTAATCTATTGAGGGAAACACTGGTGTACTTAAATGAAATACATTCAGACAAATTAACCTATGCCAAGTCACTTTGCAGTCCTTTATGAATCATCACAATAACTACATGTATGACAAAATCCATCACAAACACTTTTCTTGGCTTTTATATACTTGCTAAATGCACACTATCAGGGAATTCACTGATAATTCAATACAATTTTTAGTTCTTCATAATTTGAATGGGCCTACAAATGATGAAGTTCAGGCTTCAATTAATTGCAGCTTTGTTAATCTACATTGGTTCAAAATATAATCGTACAAAGATTACAAAAAAGTACACATTCAGAAAAGATTGTTTGAAAATAAATATAATATATAAAGACATTTCTTTTAGCCACACTTGATGGAAAAAGAACTTGATGTTACAAGTGCTAGATTTCTAATATGTTTGTGTGATTTGTCCTTGTAAAATATGCTTTGCTAAAAGTGAGCCACATGTACATGTACAGCATCAAAAACAGCAAATGCAGAAAATTACAAACGTCTGAAATATGCAGGTTAGTTTCAAATGCTATTGATTCAACCCTAGCACCCTCTACAGCTCAGCAGTGGCCCCATTACTGGAACCATATTTCTCCTGGAATTGGACTTTTAGGAGGATGCAGCAGTTTATCTTGTTGATCTGCTTTCATTTTCTCGTAGTCTGGGTGGTTCTCTTTAAACGTCAATTTCCACAGTCTGGTACCAACTGTTCTGTGTGTGCCTAACACACTACGTTGACTGTCCCTCTCCAGCTCAGTCATTTGTCGCAATGACTGTGTGTGAGTGCTCTCTGGTGTTGTTAGTCTCCGATGCTCATATTTCTTGAAACCTTTTGGAGGGACAATGTCACCACGTTCAGTAATAGGTGGCACGCGCATCTCACTGCGCAGTTTCAACTCCTTGAAGTCTTTGAGTTCTCGAACTGAGCGACAGACAGCCAAGTCTCGACGTTTCTGGTCTTTAATCATCGGCACTTCACTCAGAAACTTGACAAATGTGTTGTCACTCATCTCTGAGTGAGGAGGGATCTTGATCGGATACATATCAGCCACCAACTCTGAAATGTTCCTTCCCTGGGAATCCACTCGGTAACCAACTCGGCTACTAAAGTTCCTCCAGACATTGCTGTTGTATTCTGGGTCCCATCGTGGTGGGAAGGGGGCACCCTTGCGACCGCTTTCAATCCACAGACGGAAAGGATCAGTAGGCTTAGGTATCACGCAGTCTGGCACATACGTCCTCATCCTGTGACTGATCTCAATCTTAGAGTTGGATCTTGCTGGATGCTTTTGTGTGAGTTTCTGGACTTGTCTGGGATTAAATGCTGTCCAACTTTGAGGCCTGTCATTATAGAGACGATCGCGCTCCCTCGCCGTCAATGGAGCGGTGTCTTCCTCAAAATATCCTCGCCAGTTGCTTGCCATGGATGTTACCATGTCTCTCCAAGAAATGCAAACTAAGGAATGTGACAACAGAATCAATTTTTGTTAAACATCGATATCTATCAATACCAAATGTCCTTTCTTTTATTATACAGTCCGATAGTGACTAATTCTATACACTCATACCAAATAAATTTCCACACAATCAACAATGGTACTTCAGATGTAATTTTGATAAACAAATTCCAACTTGTTCTCTAGCAGTGCACTGCAGTCTAGGTATATTGCAGAACTAGAAAGCTGCTACAGGCTGTACAATACCTAGTGCTGACGAATACAGATCTCTTCAATTTCAGTTCAAAGTGCCGATCATTTCATTATCGATAGTCACATTTTGCTAGTATTTTTGTTCAATCTGATGTAAACATAACGAACTTTACGTGTAGATATGTACATTATACATGTACATGTACAGAGTGTACATGTAAGTGAACTGTACTCATACGTACGCCCATACGTGGTCACGAACACGTATCGTTGCTATCAATACACTTAACAAATAACCTTTGGTACACTGTTCCATATAACTTCTAGGGGAGTATTCTTTCCTATTCCGTATTTTGAATGCAAATAATCTTAAATAAATCACCGATTTGAAATATGGCAATATAAAAACGTACCAAAATGACTTTGGCTTATATGAAATTAAATGTTAGGGAATTCCTCCGATGAACAATTCGTTTTCAAATTATCATAAACCACCTACAAGCAAATGGAGTGAGCCATGAATGCTGCTCAGCAACGTAAGCGATCACTGAGCATTTCATTAAATATTCTTACTCCCTTATTGAAACAAATTACGGCTAAGTGCTGTAGAATTTTTAAAAAAAAAAGAATAAAATTACTGTGTTCAATGTGAATAAAGTTTTGAAATATTTTAAACGTGACAAACTGCTCATGTATTCATACAGTCATGTATTCATACACAGTGTTACCACGTGGCGATCATGTCGGGAAAATCAGCGCGCGTACGGAGTAAGTTAACTTAAGGTAACAGCACCGAAACAACAAGTGCAACGGAATGGGTTTGCGGTGTTTTGTTGTGCGAAAGCGGTGCTTTTGATCTGAGACAATTACATTTAATCAGGATTTCATCGAAACAACGGTTTGGAATGATGAGGACACAGGAGTAGATGATCGGTGGGTATCCTACAGAATTTCAGCCGAGCAGTACATGTACGTTATTCGTCGTGCTCGTTTGCATGGTGATCTCGACATGAATTATTAGAGGTTTATTCATGATGACTTGGAGTTGTTTTTTTAGCTTATTACATGTACCCCACGTTTGTTAACATTGCCAGAAATCAGTTTTGATACAAGTAGAGGAAATATCTGATGTACTATGACCTCAATTAGTTACTAATGTTTTTAGTCGGTACATGTATCTCTGATTTTGCATGAACTCGCAATGAACTGCATTTGTGTATGTTGAAGTAGATGTCCCATTTTTGTGGTTGACAGAATTCAAGATGTCAGAGTTGAGCGCAAAACACAAAGCGTTGAATGTCCTGAGAGTGCTGTCAGCAGGGAGGGGACATCGTCTAGCCCAAACATCACCAAGCCCTGACCTAACCGGTTCCCAAGAGGTTTTGGCAGTGAAGTACCGAGAGTTAGCGACAATACTTGCTACACAACATGTTGAGCATCAAACAGTATCTCGTCTCCCTCTCTTGACCTGGTGTCCAGAAGTGCTGGATGCATTCCACCAAGGAGACAGCGTATCCATGACAGCCAAGTCAGGCCGATAAGGAGGAGATACAGAAAACCCACAGTTCCTAAGGATGGCCAAACCCCTAAAGTTGTTGAGCTTAACAGCTCAAATACAGAGAGAAAAGATGCTTCTGAATTACATTTAAACTCAGAGCATCTGTCTACATCATCATCAAATAAGAAAAAAAATGTTTCATTCTGTGATGTTAAGTTAGTGAGAGGCATTGATGATGGTTCATCATCCAGCACAGACATGTCAGATACTGAGTTGATACGGAGAATCCTGCAAAGCCCACGTAAAGTATTAGTGAATAAACATCCAATCCATTCTATGAGAGCAACCTCACATGCAGCGTCTCCAAATAAGCAAACCAGAAAACATAAAAAAAAACTTTGCAAGGTGAAAAACACTCCAAAAGAAACTTCTAACCAGAGCAAAAGAAGTAGCAGTCTAGGGTCACCCACCATGACAATGACTCCAAGAGAAAAAAAAGAGTTTCATCCAACCGATAACAAACTGAGCAGCTCTAACAATCCAGACGTACTGTGTTGGCTGAAGGAGAAGAACAAACTGATCAGGAAGCAGAAACGCATGGAGAGAAAGAAAGAACGACAGGAGAAAGCAGCAGAGCAGAAAGTGATGGAGGAGAAACAAAAGAGACTTGCTGAGTCTGAGGATAAATTCAACCAGTGGATGAAGCACAAGAAAGATGAATCCCAGAGGAGACAACAGATTGAGAAAAAGGTCTGGAAAAATGCTGCAAAGAGGGGAACATCAGAATGGACAGAGGTCAGTGAAGGAAAGACAGACCATTCCCCTGCAAAGCACAGAGGAACAAGATTTGAAAGACAAATCAAGAAACGGACAACAAACTCAAGAAAGGAAATCAAAATACACAAATCTGTCTCCAGTCCTAAGGAAAGTGTCGCTGATAATCAGAGACACTCTGATGAAGAAGCAAGGCACCGAGTTGTACAAAATTTGGAAGCAGAGAGGCTCCAAGCAGAAGAGAAGAGGCAGAAGAAAGAGGCAGAGAAACGAAGGAGGCGGCTTTTCAGAGAAGCCCAACATGGAAGCACTAATAATTCAGATTCAAAGTCTGGCACTGATGAAAAATCAAATGACAAGACATCATCAGCTGCGAAGCCCACACCTGACACGAATAATCAACCATCTGCCTGTACTACTGCTAGCATTCGCAAGACTATGCCCTCTTCGAATCCATTCAAAGGCTTAACGTATGACGAGTGGCTCAAACAGAAACAAGCTGATCAACGTCGGCAAGCCAAAGAAGCTAAGACACAAGAAGGTGGCGATCCTGAACTTGATGACTTCATTCCTCAGCTTGCCCGGCGACGCATTGAACAAATCAAAGCCCGGGCTACCCGTGTTGATTCTGGTCTTCGAAGATCACAGAATTCTTCAGATGCTGACAAAACAGACAAGTCGAGGACACCGAATGGGGTGCGACCTTACACATGGACAACAACTTCCTCTACCCCCAGTGATAAACACCACAAAATCTCAAGACCAAGTCCTCCAAAGAACAGGAAATCTACAAGAACAACTAAGTCATCTACAGCCATGCCAGATGTCATCAGCTTTGAACGACCGGAACCACAAGGCTGTGAGAGAACAGAAGAGATTACATGCCAAAGTCCCAAACCTGAACAATCAAAAGATGCAAACCTGAACAAAGAGCCAATTCTTAACAAATTCAAGGACCTTGCAGTCAATGAGAACAATCAAAGTAGAAATGAACAACTGATGAGTAATATGCAGGCTTCAAAAGAAGACACAATTTTTATGACTGAGCCCCAAACATTCAAGGAAGTGACTTAACAGAAAACTTTTAAATCTGCTTGTACAGATCTCAGAATTATTTTAACCATTTACTAAAATTATCAATGTTTGTAGCTGTGATCACACATCAGTTAAAGGCAGAATTTTCCTCAAAAAGACTTATTAAAGTGATGTAAAGCTGGACAAAGACTGTCCACTTTTGTAAAAAAAGGCTTTTTTCATGTCTGTGAAATCTAAACTCTAAAAGTACCAAAGAAGCATGAAGTGCAAATGAATGTAGACTTCTGTGAATTGTAAGAAGTATAGTGAAAAAATCACTTAATTTTATGGAAGTGAGCTACATGTACATAAAATATTGCAAAATGCTGATCTTTCAGATGTGAGCTTTTTTTTTAGCAGAAACATATTCCATTTCCTTGGTAAAAAGCTACCCCTGCAGCACAAGTTTTGGTAAATGTGTGTTAAGCGCAATCTTGAACCTTGCATAAATTTATTGTACTGGATTCTGAGTTGGTTTTCCTTTGAATAACATTTATTCATAGGATAATCGACTCAGAAGGGAATACAATAAATATACACAAGTTTAAGCTTAACATACTCAGGTAGATAAATTTGCATTATAATCACAAGTAGTTTGTGGTTCAACAGACAATACAGAGGAACCTCCAAGTTCAAGTAAATTGGCAAGTGATACTCTTTGCATTTCAAAATATGTTCACCTTTAAAGGATTAGACCCACTAGGACTGGACTTTTATTCAAGACTGTGACAATGCTTTCCATAGAAATCAAAGCTGTTACAAAAACCCACAGTGGTTTGTAATGCGACTCAAACACAATGAATTTTATTTCCACAATTTTGACTTGAGAGTCTATATTCTGAGTGTACTTAGACAAAAAAGGAATGAGAAATGTACCTTTTAAGTCTACACATAGCACAAATATTCTCACGTGACTATTTAAAGAGACATTTAAACTACAATCTACCTCTATACAACTACAATAATACTTCAAGTGCATCGCTGGGTTTTAAATATTTGGAGAATTTTTCTTTCAGAAGAGCCTCAGATACACAATTGGATTCTAGTGCATTGTTTCTCTGTCCTCTGTACGTTCAATAGGCATGATAGGGTATCTAGTTTGTAGTCTTGTGACACAGTCTTCAAGAATCCAAGTTTTTTTTCCTAGGCACCAAAGGCGAGGCACTGTACCTTATCAGAGCCAATTACCAAGCAACGACTTCAGCTGTGGCTCCACAGAAATCTGCCACAGACTTTCTTTAACACCTGACACTTCTGCAGCAGCAAATGGACACCCAAGATCAGACTGTACCAGAAGGATGAATCAAAGTCATGATTTGATAAATTGCAATCGGTTTCCCCAACATGCAACATGTACAGGGAAATGTGTAAAAACACACTTCGTTAATTTGACATCACTGAACACAACATCAATGTACTTTTGCAGCAACATAGAAACACATCCTTGTACATGTATCTATGGTCGACTATAAGCTGACCTATCAGGGGTAACATGAAATGTAATACATACTGATCAGGACTTAAAAGTACTATATAAAAGCAGGCATTACTTTTACACATGTCACTACCCAACCGTGTATTAGTTGCAGACTACAGTTTGGTTTTGGCTTACTGCTCGCTTATAGTCGATAAATAAAACCAGACATAATCTACACAAACATCAATGTGAAATTCTGAACATTTTTCTGTGCAAAGTTCCAAATTGAAAGTCACACTGACTTACGTAGAAAGCATTATTCCAGCAGATGTACAAAACATACTTGATACAGTTTTCCATAAATGCTGATTAAGTATTGAGACAGCTAAATTCAACTTGTGACTTCTAAAAACCGAAAAGAAAAGGAAGCAAACATTGGAAGCATGCTTCATTACATTTAGGAATGATTGGGGATGAAACCTACATTAGACAGTATTAACTGCTCCAATATTGCAAGTTTTGTCTACACTTTGAAAATCTACACTTAGTGATATGTCATTTTACTGTCTTACTTTTTGAGTTTAATACAAATTAGTTTCACACTGATTCAAAATTTTGCTATCTAACTGTACATCAGGAAGTTGGGATTCAGAAATTAAAGGCAACATTTTGAGAATAAATATGAGATTTTTAACCCAAACTTTATTTTTCCATCCCCTCACACCACCTTATTTGGTCTATACAACAGTGCTGCCAAGAGTTGGCAACACATTGGCCAATCACGTTGGCAAAATCTGTCCACCCAATGTGCATTTGGAAAGGGTCAACAAATTTCGCATGCGGTGACTGGCCAACGCATGGCAAACTCTTGGAGGCACACTATTGGGAACCTCTATTCTACCAATGCCCCACAGCCAGGTGTACTTTGATGGATCCAGGAGGATTACCAGGCAATGTGAACTGAGGGAAAGTTTGAAGGATGACCACAGTTGACCATAGTTGGACCACAATTGCCCAAATGGTGGACAGTTCCATCTAATCCGCTCCAAGCGGAACAAAAAAGGGCATGTTTTTGTTGGTACTCAGCGCACTGGCGCACCATGAGGCACACAAGTATAGGCACATTTGACGCGGAGCACGCTGAGTACACGTAACTAATGTATTCCGGCATGTATGGTCTTTGCGTACACACAGAACGCATGTAAAACCTGCTTGTAACCACCTGTCTTTCTTTCGCCACTTGACGGTGCACTTCAGCTCGGGGCTGATAGCCCATTAGGAACAAGACCTTGGGGCATGGTTGCACTATTGGTTTTTCAACAGCCATTGCATGTAAACACGGGGGAACCATTCACAATAAAATAATCACATGAGGTACTACAGACCATGAACACCAAGAGAGTTACAATCAATGGCAACAGGTGAATGATGGTAAGACTTCACAAGACAGTTTGACAAGGGTGATTTGAGTGTGACTGGACTGAGCATGAATGCATAAGTAAAAAGGATTTACCCTCTGGTCCAAGTATAGTTAACAGCAAAACACCCAAACTTTCTCTGAGTTGGGAGAGGCATTCCATGTCATACCATCTTTGACCATCAAAACAAACACTTTCCCCAAACATCACGCAGATAGAAAAAAAAAATTGCTTGACAAGGGAACCGGGCAGATTGTATAGATAGGAAGAAATCATATTTGTTTAATAGCCAATTACCTTATCAAGCATTTAGTAATACTAGCCACAAGCATAAGCATATCCAACAGCAAGTGTTTCTAATTAGCAACTTGGAATGCCAGAAACAAAAAGAAAACCTGGCAGGTTAAATATTACAAACTGTTTTCGACACACGACAATAGCACCAGACAATATCAATGTTCACTCCAGTTCTTGCACTTTCCTGTTTAGGGAACTAATCTAAACTCTACATCGAGATTATTTCTTATCTTCATGGGGTAAATTTCAATATTTGGCACAGCCAGATTTAACTCTTCTTACAAAATGGAAGTGAAGAAACAGCCCACGAAATGGCATTAATGAGGGAGAACTTCATATTCTTCAGTGTCCATAAGCAATCCTCATGACTGTAATAAAATGGCAGGCCTTTAACTGTAGACCGGCAGACCGTTTTCTGGAGCAACAAGCAGATTTGCTGTAGCCATGTTTCAAAAATACTACCCATCACACAAAATAGAGAACAAGGCATTCTGGGACTGAAATGAGACAAAAATGCTGGTTGTCTTGGTGCAGACAGCATCACTCGACACTGCTAAATCCCTTGAATTAGCTACTGTCAGTCCCTGAATGAAACATACCATTCCTAAATTTTGAAGCTGTTAGGGAGGCAATAACAGATGTTAATACAACTCATTTTTCGAAATAACAGTGAAGTTGCTGAAGAAATTCCTACTGGCCACAAAACTTTCCACAAAGATACTGCGGGCATGCAAGTTGGATAAGTGATCCCAGAACCTTACATTTTGGCTTTAACATGTTTTAAAATATCATATTAGTTATAGTGGATAAATTCACCTGTTAACAATTCTATTAACGATCAAAATCACATGGTTGGGAATGCGTTCCAGGGAACCTCCTCCTAAAGCTAGTTATTTCATCTCTTTGTCTCCTGCTAAGGTCAACCCCCCCAAAAAAATTATCAATTATCAGCCGAGTACCTTGGACTGTTGAGCGAATTCTCACACTAGAGCAACTCTAAGCCACCCTTACAATCAGGGTAACAGACTACACCCTGCACAAATCCAAATGACAGCCTACAATACTTTATTGGTCTGGGTCCTCGTCTTCAGAGTCCTCTTCCTCTTCAGCGGTTGCCAGCCAGGTCAGCCACTGGTTAACCTATGGCAAGGTAACAGGGAACCAGTGATAAATATTTATGTGACCCCTACTGAGACCAATCATTGTCTCTCATTTCATCATCACCTATAAAACCACAGAGCACAACCCTTCCTGCTCAAGCATACAAACTTTCAGACTTTGACCTCTATGACCTACAACCTTTACGAAAGCCTCACCTGGAATAGTGCCTTGCCCTTTCCTGGATGTTCATCCGAGATGTCTTCCTTCCATTTCAAGAAAGCTTCTTCTTCAATGACCTCCATGTTGTAGAAGTTGACGAAGAAACGCAGCAACATGCCTATAAGGACAACACAACTGCTATCACCAACGATTCAGGACAATGTCAAGCATTCATTAGAACTTACAAATGACAGTAGACTAACAGTCCACTCTCAATATAAAGAACAGTGTTAAACAGAATAATTTAATGAGCAAATTCTGTGAATTCCAATTTCTTTATTTCTTTTTTCATTCTCTGCATTGACAGTCCTTTTGTAAAGTCCTGGTTATAATCAACATATTTGTCTAGTCCCTGTAACTTTGCAATAATAAGAGTTGTCTGTATATGAAATGCCTATCTGAAAAAACATCAATATCGTAGGATTTGCAGGTGTAAAACTTTCGTTAACTTGGTGACACATGGAAAGGGAAAATAGAGAACATCCTGAATTATGACTGGTTCCTTGTCCGTTACTGTAAGCAAACTGATCCCTTTTCTGCTGGTGGTAATTCCTAGCTCACCTTTGGGGAACCCGCTATTATTACAATGCACCTGCAATGCATACAATGCACTGAGCTGCAAGGCAACGCTCTCGTGGACGAACTTCTGTAGGACAGCTTTGAATTTTTCCAGCAGGGCTCGTTCCTTGTCTTGCAGGGGCTTGTCTGGGGCAACGCTGGAATCAATACCTTCAGCCAGAGTGGTCTGGGAAGTTACAAACTTGATGATGCTGTGTACAGCAGTCAAGAGAAAAAAATTGAGGAAAGAAGTGAAGAACAAGTATTGTGTAATGACCAGAAGCCGTAGAGTACATTCAACAGTCCTCAATCCTTCACCTGTTGGAGGATTGAGGACTGTTAGGGTTAAGCAAGAATTTGACCGTTTACTCTAAGACAAAATTTCCTTGAAATCAACTAAGCCGAATAACATCAACTAACTTAAATGTGGATCGTACAGAGCTGAAAACTCTTGTTCGGGAAACAAATGGGCCTTTGATTTATTTACAGCATTGATAAAGCCTTTGTCTATAAAACCACTGGCTGGTACGTTTTTTCTCAATCCCTAGTTAGATGATCACATATCCCCCTAAATTTCTTACCTTGTTGCCAGAGCGTTGATGAAACCCTTGTCCGCATGTATTTTGGTCGGTATGTTATCTCGGATCCATTTGTAAAGTGCGGAAGGGTTGGGCTCTGTCGTTATCTGCTTCCAGATGTCTGCCTGAACCCTCAGCAGTGGGAACAAGAAACTCAGGCCCTGTCAGAACACAAGATCCAACATCTTATTCGATAAAAAGGCATGCAGTTTTCATTCAGCAAGGTGTGTGAATAGCGCCTTCTATTAAATACGCACTAAGCACATAGCTGAGTAAGCTATGCATTCCTCATGGTTCCCAAGTTGTACACATGCATAGACCCTCGTTACAGGTGCAACAATCCTAACTCGCATTTGTTTTGTAAACGAGATACGAACTTCTTGCACTGACGTCACGAATTATGAACCAGGGCAACGGCTCAGTGATCTGAGCTGAGAGTAAATAGTGCCCTCTGTCAGCTTGCACTGGGGGATTAGCAGTCATGGGTTTGATGGACACCAACCTTATCATCAAGAATATCCATCATGCGCTCCTTCCTCTGGTCAATCTCAGGTAACATCAGCATCATGTTCACCTTGCTTGCACCTGGGAAAGAGGACGACAATGAGAATAGCTTGAAAATAAACAAGTTGAGGGCAGAAGAAGTCTGGTCATGTCTGACTGGGTTTAAAATGAAACAGTAAAAACAAACAAGAACTCACTGAAGAGATTGACAAGCCATTCCTTGTCCTTCATCTTGTGAAGTTTCTGAAGACACAGAAGAAAGAGAGGATAGTAGGCACCAGACTCCAAGGGTTTGGCGATGTCAGCGAGATGAGCCACGTCATCAACGATAGCACGAGCAGCCAAACTGGCCATGTGAGACTTGATGAGGGCTACCTCTGCTTCTAGGTCAGTGGAACGCTCCAAGAGGGATGTGAACCCCTGGCAAGATAGTGGAAATTAGGGGAGTAAATATTGGCACTCTAAACTCAATGATGGTACACACTGCACAGCCAGCCACAGGGGAAATAAAGACGTGTCTAAATGAGCTTCCAGGGCTATGGCTCTGTCTACTGTCTCTGTGCATATATCCAGTAGAGTGAAGACTTAGGCCTAGCTCTAAAAACAACCTTGGATGCATCCTAAGAGGAGTCACTCTAGAAATAGTTGACCTCTGACCTCAATAACAATGTTGTGTAACTAGCCATCTGAGACTTTTTCAGTATGAGCTCAGAACTCCTGACAAAACAGACTCGTGGAGTTTATTTGGAAATGCTGGATCCATGCTATTAACCACTTCACGCTGGATGACGTGTAAACTCACATATTTTTCCTTATTTGTTCCATGGAGGATGTGTACACTCGTTTAAGAATTCTTGTTTTGTTTTCCACGGTTGATGTATTAGCGTGTCGTGCTTGGTTGGGTCAAAGTGCAACTGCAAGGTTGAAGAATTTACTGACAAAACTTCATCTCCAGCAGCTTCTTCCCGTTAGAAAATCTGATGTTAACTGACTATGGAGCGACAAGCATTTTTTCTTACATCTATGAACTGTGCTGATGTGACGGCATCATTCTGTTTGAGTGCTGTGATGAATTTACTGACGCTTTCCCTTTCCGTGTCCCCCTTAGTGAGCGCCTCCGTCATGATGCTACACAGCAAGGCAGCGACATACTCTCCAGCTACACGCAAATCCTTCCAACCGTCAACTGCTGCTGTCAGGTCATCGGAAGTCAAGTAAGACTTCATCAAGGTCTCCTGTCATCAAAAAGAAGGAAATGGGGAGATAAGGTCAGTCAGAAAAGCTTGACTAGAGAAATGAAGTTGACTGGGATTTAAATCTGACCCCTTTCATGTTTTCTACAGGCACCCTGCTGAATCAAACAGAAAACAACAACAGAAAGTATGAAGCCTGCTGAGCCAGAATCCAACCGCTAGAAGAAAAATCCATTCCTTCACTACCCAGATCAAAAAAATCCAACAGAAAGAGCCTGGTGTTAGATACCACTGGGTTCAGCAAGGTTGGAGTTACGGGAACAGCTGAGCAAAACTGAGATCAATAAAGTGATCAAATTTGTAGAATTCTGACAAGATGTAGTACTTGAGAATGAATCGGTGGTAAGACAAATGATGGACGGCTAATACAAGCAACTCTACATCCACTTATGCCTAGAAAAAAATCTTGAAGTAAATGAATTAGAATTCCCAGCAACCCACTACTGACTTAACCACTTCCTGTCAGGAAGCCCGATTTCGGTCACCGTGTGTTTATACGCAGAGCTGGGGTGCCCGATTTTGGATTGATGAGAGACACACAGCGCGGCTGCTTGCTACTCCAGCTGCGTATGAAAAGACGCTACTGGCATTCACCGGAACAAAGGAAATTATGCAACACCACACAATTCTGGGCTCTCTTTTACAGGGCTGCAGGCCTGGGTTGAATACTCAGGCGTGAATGAAGGTTGCCTGACAGATTAGAGTAGCCACCAGACAGTTGTTCATGTGGGTGTAAACGTTCAGTAAATGAAAATATGAATTTTTGAAGAATATTTTGAAAAAGGAAAATCCTGAAAAGGTCCCGCCATCACATCCCGCTCAAGAGAAATCCACCCGGCAGGAAGTGGTTAAGCAAATCTTTTCTTAACATTTTCTTAATTTTCTGTACCAAATCATGTGGCTGAATGTAAAATTTCTAGAACCTACCATAGACTTGAGCAAGTCCTCCTTGCTGGGTGTTTGTTTCTTTGCTTGCTTGCCACGTTCTGAACTGGTACTCTGCTTGACGCTCAATGGAGGGAAACCAGACTGCAGGTTACCAACCGGAGGTTGTTGAGATGATGGAGTTGGGTTGTTGGGTTTGGAAGGGACAAGGCTAGGAGGCTGAGATGATGTCTTTTTGGTACTAGGAGGTAACATGCTAGGACCCTGGGGCTTGAGAGAAATGTTGCTGGAGTTGGGACGAAGGTTGAGCTGGGTGAAGAACAAGGAGAAAAACCACAAGATAATTTGAAGTCACAGAATATCCAAAGGAAAAACCACAGGAAAGGTTCATTTATCAACATTATCTGGCAGGATTAATTCTGCATTATAATCACAATTGACCATTACTCCCTGAGGCTTTATGTAAAGATGCAACCTCAGTCCTGCAAAATCCTACAGGCTTGCCTGACAAGACATATAAGGCAACTACCGACTTGCCTGACAGACAAAATGAGGAAAATTAATCCCAAGATCTTAAAGGTCTCTGATAAGAAGATAATGACAGATCTGATCATATGTTAAAGGCGATAACTGCACCTGCATCTGAAGTATTTACTAACGAGAAATCCTGACAGAGGACTACGACTTCTGTCAATCTCACCTGGTCGGAGGTCATCTTGCTCATACGTGGTGGTTTGTTGTCTCGTTGCCCTGACAGGTTTGACCTTTGACCCATGTATCCACCCCCTCCTCCGTCCTTACCCATTCCCATACCCTGTTGATTCATATGCTGCTGTAGGCGTGGTGGCGGATTGTTGTAGTTACCCTGGTAGTTGCCTGGGTCAAATGATAAAGGTCAAAGGTCAGAGGTTAAAATGGCTGATAATGGTTTATCAACCATAGGGATTTTGTTTTTTCCATTTCAAGAGAGGCTTTACAATAATGTTAGGATTCCTCATCAGGAAACAGGAGTTTTTAACAAACTTTTGCCTGTGTTTATGACAGGAACTTTATTTCAAAGAGGGATTTGCCACCTTGGTTTTGTCTATCCATGTTGCGTTGTGGGTTCCTCATCTGCTGCTGTTGTTGTTGCATCATGAAATGAGCATAAGAATCCATCTCAATGGTGCCTGGACCAGTGCCAACCTTACCAGCTAGAAAACAAATAAAAATGGCAGAAAATCAGATGTGAAATTCCTCAATGCATGTATAGGACACTACACTAGGAGCCATTTCCAACATGGTTCGCCCTCAGTGTTTGTTACCAAACAGCCCCATATTTAGCTTGCACATCCGTGTCAATAATTAGATGAAGTTTTCTCATCTACCACTCCAGACATTGAAGGAGTGAGACTGATGTGAATCGACAAACGGACAGAGTTTTTGAATGTGGAGATGCAAGATTTGGTTATGGAAGCATGGTCAAGGTATGATAAATTACAACCGTATGATCACCAATTTAACAGAATCCCACAAGGTGGCCTTTTATTAGTAAGGCATTAAAGACGTTACATCAAATAGCACGATCCAGGAACTGAGTGTACTAAAGTGCAACCTCGTTCTCATGGGTACGATCTTGCCGTGCCATGTTGGTTCCCGGCACCAAGCCCTGAAGGCACACGAACACAGCCCATAGAGTCAAGGTTGGCTGAAGTGAGTGCATTAGGAAACAAACCACCCCGACTAGAGTGCATCTTTAACCCTACCACTCCTCAGTCCTCCAACAGGTGAAGGATTGAGGAGGGTCAGGGTTAATGTTGATTTTATCTCTCTAACGATGGTTAGGACTGTATATCAGAAGGTGCAGGTGAATTCAGGAGTCATCACTGCAGCGACTCGAGGCATTAAGGGATACTCTATTACCTCAGAAGCATTTAGAGAGATAGAACGAGATGAAGACACTTACACATTGTATCTTGGAGGAAGATATCGCTCATGGCTCCTCGTGATTCCCAACCACCATGCAAACCTCGATCACCGTTCAGTGGGCCGAAGAATTCACCATGGGAACGCCCCATGTCCATCGACATACCGGAGTCCTGACATCAAAATGGAAACAATCACCCAATTTCATCTAGTGCTTCTTTAAACATTTTGAATTTACTTGTTATGAATTATGAAAAGATGTTCATCTTGAAGAGATTACAAGTAAAAACGAAGACGTGAATAGGATAACAGTGAGCACAGTAAAATACATCAATGTGTACATAACCACTGACATTTCTTCCTATGTGCTTCGTTGGTAATGTGTGGTTAAAGATGATTTGTTACCTTGAAAGCGTCTTGGTGGATTTGACGTATTGTCCTTGGACCTTGCACAACGGCGCAATGTCGAAGCACCCACTGCGAGTGAACAGACAATAAGAAACCACCATCTCAGACATACTTTACATCCCAAGAACTGAAAATAAATGTTCACATTTAGAATGACACTTGATTATCTGGACATCAGTCTGTCCTAAGAAGATGGTCTACTCACGTTGTTGCGTCTCAGCTCCAGACAATCCTGTAGCATGAAGCGAATTCTCGCTGGCAACTCGGGAGCTTCTGAGAAACGGGTCATGCGCTCAAAATACTGATCCATCCAAGACTGTGTAAAAAAACATTAAAAACAGTGACCACTACAGTCTGGTTCCAGACCCAGTAGGTCAGTCTCTGACTCACTGTATAGATGTCAATATTTAAGTTCGAGCGACTACCATTTATGAACCGCAGGTCAATTTTGCCTGGTACCCAGACTGTATTTTGTGTACAGGTTACGTGTCAATATTTCCCCGTGGTGACTAACAACTATCACTCTGAGTTTGTTGTTATCTATTTTCCATCTAACAGCCTAGTCTCAGAGTCAGTCCCTGAACTCACCCTCGCTTTGTCATGGTCTAGTCTCCGGCCCACTGTATTCATTATCTTACACAAACACTCCAAGTCCTCCGCCTTCTCTCGAAATGTCTCACTGCTTCGTTTGTACAGCAGCTAAGGAAAGCCAGGTCAGAGGTCAAAGGTTAAATTAAAAAATTACACAGAACACCTCAAATTATTGATTTGTAAGTCATACTTTTTGGAAATTATCAGAGGGTTTTTTATCCAACTAGGTGTGTCCACTTATTTCATATCTGTTCATTGGAAAGATGGTGACACATCAGAGTACAGTCAAATCCAAGGAGGTGCCATTCTCCTGAGGCCATTACACTCATGAACTGGTTTTAACTTGACCACCCCATTGGTCAGAGAGAAATGTAACTCCACGTCAAACAGGATGGCTGCACAGTAATGGCCTCTAATTCTAGTGGAAAGATTAGTCAACAGAAACAAAAGTTTTCCAGAAAAAGCCACTCAGGTCTGCTTCAAGAAGGTCAAAGGTTAATCTACCTGTTTAATGCACTTATGCAGTATGGACTCATGTAGCATTTCCAGTTTGCCGAGTTCACCTGTTGAAACAATGCAACAGTTTCCATAGAATTAATTGAATGGTGATTTCTCTTGGTGGGTGGTGATATCTGGTTCCTAAATGTGATGTCACATCGGTTTAAACCACACCACACCAAGAGCAATATGAAACCATGAAACCGGAAGCTAACATGCAACTTGAGTGTTCATTCAATGGAAGCAGTCGCCAGTGGTGTGTGTGCATGTATGATAAAGTCATTTACCAACTGGATATGAGATGTGGTGGGAGTAGATTTGAGACTTGAGCTAGTGAATATATAAAGATCAACGAACCTGAGTATTATCGAATTATGTCAGCTGTCGTGTCATGACAACACTGCTTGTACTATAGTCTTGCCTAATTCTTGAGTCTTCTCAGCGTGACGTCCTGTTGACCTGAGTAATGCACTACTGTCATATGGCGAAAAAGCCCCTTTGTGCAATTGAATGCCGTGCAGGAAATGTAATGAAGTTCAGTGATGTCCGACCACAAGATTTCCAAGAGGCCCCCCCCAAAAAGCTTCTACTTAGCCCACATTACCAATAGGCTTCCGAGGCTTCAGCTTCACCTATTGTTACCAAAACATTGGAGATCAGGGCAGGCATAGAATCTCAAGAGGCTTACCAATAAACTGGATGTTACCCAGCATCTTCTGCTTGGTGATGTGACGTTGCTCCTCCTCGTCCGGTGTGAGATTGCCATTTTTGTTTTCGAAGGCTGAGAAGAGAAAGAAAAAGTCAGATACAATGGTTTAAATGAGGCCGAAGATTTAAACTTGGGAAGTGATTGAACGTGGTAGGATCTTTCTCATGGATCTTGTCTGTGTTTGGACAAAGGACTGTGCAGCTAACCTAGTTACTTTACATCAAGGCTAGATATCTCTCTTTGGCAATCTGCACAGAATGTGTCACTCGATGACAGCCATGTTTGTTTTTTTTGGCAGACCCAGGAGTGACTACTGTCCAACTACCCAAGAGACAGGTTGGTGAAGTGGTTCTTTTCTTGCCTTCCACCTCTGTGGTCTGGGTTCGAATCCCTGCTTGGTCCACATGGGGATTGGGTTTTCAGTTCCTACCTGATTCTGTGGGTTTTACCCAAAATATTCCTCTGGGGATTTTCTCCTACCTCTAAAACTGTCCTGCTTCTCATTGTCTCCTCCCTACAGGTTTCTTCAGGCTAACAAGCTTCTGTGCCTAGGGCACGTTTGAAGAATCCTTGATGTCATTACCAGATATAATGAAGAATAAGAAGGAATAACAAGACAGAGACAGAGGTTACCTGCAAAAGCTTGCGATCGGTTCTCAAACTCATCCTGACATTTATTGATGAGCAGGCGCCGGAAAGTCTGTGGCAAGAAATGGGGGGAAAAAAGAATAAACTTAGGGGAGATTGGACACAGAATAACCAAACTGGCTTCAGAGATTGGAAGTAAAACATCCGAAGCAAAGTGTTAGACAGTCCACAAACAGTACTTGACGCATTTTATGAGCCCTGAGCTGGACCAAGAGAGGGCGCAAATTTCCCAGCAGCCTATGCTCCTTTGGCAGGAAGTGCACATCCTGGTTCAAAAACGACTAGGAAATAAACTCGTTAAATAAGCACTCAGGACAACACATGGCTCTTTAACCGATGAGGGGTGCTTCAACTTGAAGTGGATAAAGTACGTAAAATAGATGCTATAAAAAGAGCGACAGGCCTGGCGACGTAGGACTGGAAGACAGGGCTATAGTGGGGCCAAGTGGGACATTGGGGACGGTATACCTTAATGTTTGAATCAAAAGGTTTGCACATTCAACCTTCAAGTCATTCACAAACAGTGGTGCAGAGGGGGGTGTCAAGAGGTAAAAGAACGACTCACTCTACTGGTTGAGCCCGGAGGCTCAAAGCTAGGTGCGTCTTCATCCAATCGCTTACATAGCTGAGCATACACGGCACTGTACTTGGGTTCTTCTAAAGCTTTGTCAAATACCTGCAAATGAAACAGGTGAAAACGAAAAATAGCACATTGTATTCACCAGTGCATAAAATATTTTAGGCCACTACGGAAGAAAGACGAGTGTTTGGTTGAAGGATCACATCTTCAGAGATTTGATTCTTAAATTTAGCGACCCTGAGAGGTGATGTACTACATAATGACATTTTACATGCAAATTATTTCATGAATAGTGCAAAGTGTCTGTTTGCAACCTGCAGTTTGTGCGACTTGTCACACTTTCCATCCAATTTTCCCCCTTTTTAGCATCAATGTGCTAAGGGATTAGTTTCGCTTACCAAGAGAATGATGCCTTTGAGTACAACTTTTGAGTCGATTCCTACATTGAGGAGCTCAAGAACCAACTTGTCAAACTTTTCAGGGGTGAGCTTGTTCAGAATCCTGCAGATATGGAGAAACAAAAACAGGTTGAAATGGATCCAATTCTGCACAGGATCAGTGTATCTTGACCAAGTTGATCAAACCCCACGGCAGACTTTAAAGTATGATTCTACTCCAGAGCCTCTTTATCTATTAGAAATTGTGGTCCTGTGTTGTTTGTCATGGGCTAGAAGGGTGGGATGGGTTTCAGGGATGGGATTTGGAGGTGGAGTAAATTGGTACATGTACATGGTGAGCAAATCGCTCACTTAATACTGGTGTGTTTGAATTGTTGATGAAATAAGCTCAAAAGGTGCTGATATGAGGCCCAGGGTGCAGTGGGGTATGGGTGGAGGGCAAGAAGGGTACTCTGGGATGCGGTAGGGTAACATCAAATAGAGAGAGAGAGAGACAGACACGTACCCTCTGACACGCCTAAAGATGTGATTATGCCTTTCTTGGTTGGTGTGATATTCAGGTCTGTTGGTTGAGCTTGGTGGAACCCATCTCTGTTGGGCTCGTCCACTACTACTACTCTGAAGTCCACTGCCTTTGTTGCTCAACACAGGTTCATGGTAGTTACTTTTGCTGTCAGGAAGAACTCCATCAGTTAGTCCCATTATATTCAACCAAAGGCATTTATGTGTAAGTGTGGCTGAGCCAGAAATGATAAAGTAATTAAATACACGTTTTTACATAGAAGTAGTTCCCCTTTAAAAATGTTTAGCTTTAGTTAAGAGTTCTTGATTTTTTCTAGTAGTGTGCCCCCCTGTTCATTTGTTTAAGCCCTAGCTTCCCCCATATAGAGTTACCACATGGTCTGGTCACACTCAGTGTAGCAGATCAGCAGAGACCAGTCACCTTCACATGTACCTATGTATTGTTCCTCCTAACTGGAGTGTGGTTTTTCTGCTTGAGCCCTATTCTGCTAGTAGTCAGTGATTGAAGTCTGAGTGTAAACTCGTTAGGTCCATTTTACATACTGTGTGGGTTTTGGTTTTTGCTCTTTTGGTTTAAGTCTTTTAAATCCTTCAGTCCTTTTAGTTCTCTGCATTTTTCCAGTATTTTTTCATTAATAAATTGTATTTTTGATTTTTTTTTAAAGTCAAATATATTGGTGTCTGAGTCCTCATTAATTCAGTTTCCTGCGACTTTTCCTTCAAAGATCCTTGGTTTAGTATTTTTTCATTAATAAATTGTATTTTTGATCTTTTTTTTAAAGTCAAATATATTGGTGTCTGAGTCCTCATTAATTCAGTTTCCTGCGACTTTTCCTTCGAAGATCCTTGGTTTAGTTAGAGTTTTTGTTCTTTGCGAGTTCCCCATAGTGTTGAATTTTTCCCTGTTACATAAGCACTACCTTTTTCTCATTTATTCACCTCAGTCAATAATGTCTAGACCTACATAGGACACGTTGCCATAGTGCCTCTGGTGTCTATTAAACGGCAAAAACTTTAGCAGCAGCATCTATTTTCTGCAGTCTTCAGCACTCAACTTACTCAACCAGGGGAATAGTTCAACTATTGCCCTCACTAGAAGCCAGCATTTCCTGGGCTTATCTAGATCATAACTAAGAAGAACAGTCAATGAGTTTGTTCAAAGAAGAACCTTAGCAATATCTACTATTGTCCTATTTTTAGTACTCTTAACAAACTCTTCCAAGTTACACCAGTCAATCGTTCAACTATTCCCTTTCCAGGACCAGTCAGTATATTTCATGGCTTTGGTCATTGGCATCTTCAAGAAGCACTGCCTTTTCTGTTTTGTCTTAGGATTTCAGCTGTCAAATCCCTTCAAAAGAACCATGCCCAGAATGCTACAAAAAGAGGGCTTAGGCAAAGACTACCTGTAAGGACAGTAAGTAGTTCAACTACTGCCCTCTTTAGCAGTCAATAGTTTCTAGTCTTACGTGGGGTACTGTCGTGGCGTCTCTTGTTGCCTTCGCTGAGGGAAAGCTTGAGAAGCACCACCTACTTCTCCCTGGCCTTCCACTTTGTCTTGATTCAAGCCGCTGTAACTACACAAAATATTCAGACCACATCCGTACCTACACAGGAAAATAAGGTTTAAATGAATAGTGTTTGAGGGAAATGGGCAAAACCTAAATTACTGCCCACACTACACCTTTACGTTAAACATTTAAAAATCATGTCCACTATTTTATGCGGTAGAAATATACCTCTTATACTAAAAAAGTAGTATTTGGCCATATTTTCCTGCATTAAATATTCAACAAATCAAGTACGCCCCTATTCCCTGTGCAAAAGAACAGATGGCTTCCCCTTGGCATGATGAAAGTTCAAAAGGTTGAGCAACCCATATCTCAATTATTTCAGGATACTTTGGGCCTATTATGAAACTTTCCACCATTTCCACCGGTAGGGTTTCACATCACAACTCGTAGACTTCCCTAAACTCGGAGAAGTCCCTTTATTTGGGGACAAAATCAGTCCCGTAAAAGACGGAATGTCCCAAAACAGGGACTTTTTTCCTTCAAGTGGGCTTGGTGATCCTACCATTGCCCTGGGGATCGTTTTAATGCCATAATTGGATTCAGCAGAAGAAAATACACAAGGGTACTGTTGAAAAAAATTCTACCATTTACTTCTAAGATTACAAGGAGGAGTCAGGGGTCAGGCTATTTAGCATCAACAAGTTATTCAAGCATATTTATGCAACTTTTTTATATAAAATGTTAATTAGGATCCTTTATATCAAATTCAGTGTATTATATCTATCTGAAATGACACTTGAGTATTGAAATTTGAGTGACAAAGTCTGGCCTGTTTGTGCAGTCCCACCTGCCGACATCTTGTTTTCGCATGGATGGCAGAGGAAAGAAAGTTGGCAGCCCCCATACATGTACATCACAAAAATTTTCATTTTCCTACCAGAATCTGGAAGCAAATTCGGTGTTTCTCTTATACAGTGGCAAGTGTTAGAGTCTCTGAAATATAATAAACCACTTTTAAATCTGTAGAGGGTATTTTCAAGTTGTTGACGCTTTGTCGACACTATGTGCGGGTGTTGACGCTTGTTGACGATAAGTAGCATGAAGGGTAGGTACATGTAAAAAACCGCATCTAAACAATTTTTCTGAATATTAATCCTTTACGTACAGTAAAACTAAATAATATGGTAGGCCCTAGAAAGTTCATAAAAACAACTTGGTCCGAGGGCCTGCCGGTAAATAACTAGATGGAACTGGAAATAGGCCTATGGTGCAAAATTGAAAATAGCATGTAGATTTTTTTTTTAAATCTAAGCCCACTTGGGCAAAAAAGTCCCCTTTAAAAGAGACATCTTTCAGGGGTCTTCTCTGAATTAGCCTTTTGCGAGTTAACTCTGACTCAAATCTGGTACACTGAGTTCTTTAAATTCACGTGAACATAACTTGAATTCTCCTTACTAAAACTACTGTTGCTATACCCCATGATCCAAGGCAAGCTTTTGATTAGTTACATAAGAGATGCTTCGCAACAATACACTTTTCTAATTGGATAAGAAGGGCACAAAGGAACCAGTCCATTCCAGAGATAGTGGTCGCTATGCAAAAGCTTGCCCCGAATCACGAGGTATAGCAACAGTGTCTTCAGTTTGGGGAAGTCAAATCGTTATGTTTATATGCAGTCAGAAAACTCAGTGTACAATATTTTATTCAGATTTAACTCGAAAATGGCTTATTTAAGGACAGTCTTCCAGATGTGATGTGCACCTTCAGTCTACTGCCCACCATCTGCCAATTGTTTGCATTGGCATTGTCCACTGACCAAGAACAATTCTTCAAAATGCTTAAAATTAAATCAGCAAACGCTTATTGCCTCATGGATCGGCATTTAAATATCAAAGAAATATGAAGGACTCCAAACAGTTTAGCCGCTAGCGTCATCCACGGAAAAATAAGAAAAGTGACAGAAAAGAACACGGTGTCAGTGTACAGTGGTGTAGGCCTAAACCAAAAAAACGCCTGAATGCCACAAAAAGGAAGTTACGACACACATACGCAATCACAAATAACAATCACTTCCATTGGGAAAGTTAAAATCAATACTCAAGCACTGTATACCAAGATACTCCTTTATTTATTTCATTAGTCTAGGATGTGAAAATTAGGCTAGAAACGAAGTTTACAGGTTTTTTAAACTCACCATTCAGAGCAAAAAAATTCGTGGCGGCCTTCACTGCTGAGTGTAGAATGGATTGGTAACCAGTAGACCTCGTCCAATGGTAAATTAACGGGAAAATGTGCATAAGACAATGGAACATCCTGCCTCGATAGCAGGAAACCAGTGACCATCTTACGGACAATGCATTTCACGGCATGCCTCCAGAGAGGGCGTCCTTCACATTTTATGGACAGCGAAATGTTACAAGTTGGAATTTTTAAATATGGGCTAGTCGAATCAACCCCGACATCAAAACAAACTAAATGTATCAATTTCAGACAACTGTCTTTGCCCTACTCGCACGTATGCAATTAAACATCACGTGTGCCACTGAAAATTTACTTACAAGCAGTGGGCATATCTAATTTCCACTTTCTTCCATCATCCCAACAGTACACATATAAACAGTCACACTTGAAACACCGCCGAGTATGATCCACTTGCACTTTTTAACTTAAACTAGCAGAACTAGATATCCATACTTTATTGTCTCAAAAATTTAACTTCACTGATACATAGGCTGTGCTCAGATTTTAAAAAATCCTCACTAACAAAACTGTCAGTCATGTAATCTTGACATTCAAGACAAAAGATGACCCGGGTAAAATAAATTCTTACGATATAATACTGAAGCCCAGTATATTCAATTGTTGCTGAGGTATTAACGGTGTGTAAGATGAATTTGTTAACACTAAAAATAAACCATCTGACGCCAAAACAAAGCAAAACATTATAACTTATCATTTTGCTTGATCCGACAAAAAATAACCCTGTTTATTCTTTTAAATTAGTATTTAATTTTACAATTTTACAATTTCAGTGAAGAATTAATCTGATAAATTTGAAAAAAATAAGACAGAGGAAAACATATGAAGTAAATATAACGGAACTAATTTTTATCAGGCACTAATAAAAGGATGTCAAAGAGGCATTTTTTTTTAGTTTTTGCATAAAATGTCTCCTTGAAACAAATTACAAAATACCAAGATGAAACTAAATAAAAATAAAAGCTCAAAGAAAAGAAGACAATCTTATGGCTCAGGTAATGAAAAGAAACAACTTCAAAATCCCAAACTCTAAAATTTAGACAGAGGTAAAAGAAAACAAGGCCAAGAAGAAGAAGAAAATAACTGTCCATCACAGGCACTACACTTTCCTTCGAGTTATTATCAAGATTGGCCAATGAATAATTGGGTTATCATTAAAGAGATTCCACAAACAGATATAAGGCCCCCAGAACACTAAACCGATGGCCAAACATCCAAATCTGAAAAACAAAGACACTGTTCACGAGGGTGTGCTCCCAAAATTTGTGAAATAATCTCCTTATTGTCAAGCCAGCTACTTGAAGTTGGCCATGTACTCTTGGAAGAGTTTAGGATTCTCTGCTTTCCACTTGTCAGCCGTGTTCGTCTCCAACCAATCAGATTTAGCCATCTCACTTTGCAGTTGGGAAACAAGCGCTTCTAGAGATTTACCTAAAACAAATCAACGATAAAGAAAACTGAACAAATAATTGTGAACATCAAAATGAATAAGTAATGACTACAAATGAAAATTATAGAGGTAGGCATACTGTAAGAGAAAGCTGATTATAAGTATGCCAATAAGACCTGAATACTACCAAGCCCATCCAGCCCATTAAACCTCCCAGCTCAACAACCAACCAGTCAGCAAGGCCCCCCCCCAATTTCTTACCCTAACCTCCAAACAAACAAGGGTCAAAAAGAAGCCATCAAAACACAGAACTAACCAGCAGCCAGTAAACCTCCTGACCAGCCAGGAAACCACCTGACAAGCCATTAAACCACCTGACCAGTCAATAAACCACCTGGCCAGCCAGTAAACCTCCTGACCAGTCAGGAAACCACCTGGCAAGTCAGAAAACCACCTGGCCAGCCAGTAAACCACCTGGCTATCTAGTTAAGCACCTGGCAACCAACTCATCTACTTACTTTGGGAGCTGTCTCCTGCTCCACCTCTCTCGGCAGCTGGTGCTATGGACAAGGATTGCTTGTTTTCTTCTTGAAGCAGGTGGCAAACCTTAGCAAGCCTTTCCATGGCTAGAAACCAAATAAAATCAACATAACTTTACATGGCTGGTGGCTGTTGTGCCAAATTTTGGGGGGCAAAAAAATGATGCTTCAAATCAAATTCCAATTTCAAAAAAATGATAAAGGTCGTGTATTCAGGAATTTGAATACATGACTGGGTCTTAAAATTTGAAATCTCCACAAGACAGAGTTCATCTAATTAGTAAACAAAACGAACCTCTCCACATATCTGTCTCAATTTGTTTTATTTGTTGTATTCTTGCTTTCGTGTGCTGTGGACAAATTTTCTTACCAAGTTTGATCTCATCAAGCGGTCGGGTGAAAATGATGCGGAACCATCCACGCTCATCTGAGTAAAATGCCAGAGAAGGAGCGATGTAGATGCCATCTTTGATGAAACGATAGAAAAGCGCCATTTCACTCTCTGCAGTCAAGGATGGCATGAACTGAAAAAAAAGAATCAAACAAGACAGAGATTTGAAAAAAAAGAAGAAAAAACGCAAGCTGTCCGTAAGCTATGTCCACAGCACCAGGAGCCTCAGCATTGTTACAAGAAGTTACATTATGCATAGCAACAACATGAACAGAAAATGGAACTGAACCACCACGGATTTTGACAGAGGTTCGTGACACTTACTTTCTTAAAGTTAGCATAGACATAGAGTCCAGAGGGTCTGTTGAGGTATGGTATCCCGATCTCATCCAGGGTGTCTGTCGTGACTTTATGAGCCTCTCGCAACCTCTTGTTATTGGTTGGAAAGAAGACATTGTTCAACCAATCTAAAAAAAAAGGTACAGAAAACTCTTGACGAATGCTCCCCTTGAATGCTTCAAACAAGTGAAATTAATGGTCGTTTTAAACTTCCCCACTTGTTTTGTGGATAAAATACATCAATTCAAAGAGATGAACTCTTTATTCTACAAATAACAGGTGATATTAACCTTTGTCAGAAAGAAGACGAGCCATGACTTTCTGGATGTAGACAGACACTAACTGGAAGTACGCGAAGGTATTGATACAAGAAATGATCGAAGTGTTCAAGGTGTGAATGACTCCAAATCTCATACCGGACATCGACATATCCTGAAAAAAAATAAACACAACAAATTACATGTTGCACAATTTGCACGTAGGTTGAGCTGGGGTAAGGGTAACTTGTTTCTAACCTTGCTTTCTGCACAAAGGATACTCTCTATGGATTGGGGTAC